CGAAAGGTTCTATTGCTGAAGGATATTTAGCAAAAAAGTGTATGACATTTTGTTCTCATTATTTGCAATATGTTGAAACGAGATTTAATAGATCATTGAGAAATATTGGTATGCAGCATAGAGACTCTGCCTATAATTATCTTTTTCAAAGTTTTGGACAACCAATAGGTAAAGCTGAATTGGTGGAGTTAAATGATAAATCTCGAGCATAAGCACATTGATATGTTCTTTTTCATCATGACTCAATTAAATCATTTCGCACGTAAGTTTTTTAACAAGAAAATTATTCATTACATTAAGCATAATTTTTTTTATTGTTAATACTTTATCATGATGCTTTATAGTGAGCATAGAAATAATTTCAGAGATCATGCACATTATCGAAGATCAAACCCTCGAGAGCTTGATAAGTTGTTCGCTGAAAACTTTCATGAATGATTAGGAGCAGCTGTAAGTAATGCCATACTTTTCATTATCAGAAATCTATATAAAATGCTTACAGTATAACTAACATTAATAACATATATATATTTATTCCACTTTTATAGGTTTAGAGTGGAATGCTTGTTAGTCAAGAGGTGAAGTGTCTTTCACATGATCTGAACCAGATTATGAAAACGATACAAAGATTTCATCATCAATGGATTTAGATTTCACACTAAATTTCATGAAAGATTTAAAAGTACATAAAATTCAAGAGTTATTGTAACTTCATCAACTACTAGTTATGCTAGTGCTAGGGACACAAACCCTTTAAAAGGAAATGTTGACTATTATGGCATGATTAATGATATCATTAAGTTGGATTATTATGGCAAGTAAAAAATTATCTTATTTCGGTGTGATTGAGCTAATGTGAATAGTACGAGAGATACTAAAAAAAATCAGTATAGATTTACACTTGTAAATTTTTCTCGATTAATTCACACTAGACAACAACTCATCGATGAACTTTATATTTTTTTATCTCAAGTCAAACAAGTATTTTACTCTGAAAATCCTAAAGAATTGGGTTGGTTTGTTGTTCTTTGAAATACACCTAAAGACTTATTTGATATAAGGTTAGATACCAGAGATGATGTTGAACATGGAACTAAATGTTATCCTTTTGCTAAACAAAACTTGGATGAAAATATATCTAGTACCTACGCTTAGTGGGTTCGCAAAGATATTATTAAAAACATTTATGAACCATAAAATGGTGCATCTATAATTTGTAATTCAAATATTTAAGACATAATGTAGTAAATGATTGTATGTAATTAATGTCACATTCGCTATTGTATAATTATTGTATTTTAAATCATACATTATCTTTTGATTTATTTAAATCGATATGTTCTTTATATATTGTAGGTTTTGATTTCTTAACTTCTTAATGTCTTTATATATGTTCTAAACTAATATCTTTTCTATATTCGCTTTTATGATATAGGTAAGCTACAATACGGAGGAGTAGGTTGAAAGAAAAACATATCAGAGATATTAGTTCAGACCCTTTTGCGGCACCTGTAGATATTGGCTATGGATTAAATCCTTTGAAGAAAAATGAACGTACTGTCGAATCTAACTCCGTTACTTCTAATCTTTCAACTAATATTGGATTTGGTAATACGGGAGGTCCAGGTTTAGATAGTATCCCATCAATTGATTATGCTTTAAATTTGAATATAGGTATGATATACGCTAATTTTAGAATTCGAGTATAATGGTAAAAGTATTGTAATTTTACAAATTTATTTTTTATTTGTTGCAGTTGATAATAATGATCAACGAAGGATCAGAGGCCAAACAACTTTGAAGGACTTGTTTGCACTACCTCCTAATGAGCATACTATAGTATCTGTAAACTCTGATAGGCAACCAATTGGTGAAGAGGCTCAATTGTTGGCTAGATTTCTAAGCATGCCAACCTGTAATGGAATGAAATTGCCTATACATTATGAAACATGTTTAAAGTTCTAGAAGAAGTTAAGGCTAATGCTTTAAACTTTATTAAGGTATTAGTATAATTAATTAGATATAAAAAAATTTTTATTTTACATTTTATTTACTTATTCAAACTTTTCTTATTGTATTATTATAGTCAAGATTTGTACTTGAAATACCAACTTCATTTGTGCTTAAGTCATTGGAAAAGAAATGGAAAGATTATAAGCATCATTTGGAGAACAAGTAAATCGAAATACTATTATAGAGGCGATGATGGAAAATCTACCTCGTAATGTGATTAGGTGGCAATATGAACAATTAATTAGATTTTGGTTCTCAAGAAAAGAAGATGTACTAGTTTATAACTTTGTATAGTAGAATGAAATGATGAAAGTGTTTTATGATTTAAGTTAGTAATATTTATATTTCTATCATATTCGTAATTATTTTTTATGATGGGAAAGAGAACAGATTGGGATTGGTAGCAAAAAGCAACAGAAATATAGCCACACAAGTGGGTCAAAAAGTTTTGCAACAAAGAAAAAAGAAATAGTAAGTTTATGATAATAAACTTATTCCAATGAATGAATTTTTTCTACCGTTAAAAGGTAAATATGTAAATTAACAATTATTGTTCTGTTTTAATAGTTTTGATAGTTTCAATATATGATATTAAACTTATCAAAAGTTTTAAACTTAGTTGACAAAGATGATATATATAAAAAAGTTATTGTTTACGTATATTTAGGTAAAAATACAAATTTATTGTTATTATTATATTTTAACAGTTTGGATAGCTTCAATACTTGATATTAAACTTGTCCAATTGATTGAACTTGATTTCTACAGTTGATATGAGAGAAAAGTTATCGTTTATGTCTATTTGGGACTATTTTTGCATATAAAAGACAAATATACAAATTAAACTTTTGGATGACTTTGAACATATTGAATAGCTTCAATCCATGATATTAAACCGAAAGAAAATAATTGAATTTGATTTTCATGATCGATACGTATGAAAGCCCAAAATACTTTTATTGTTTGCGTATGTTTAAGACTATTGTGTTGTTATGGGGTCAAAATATAAATATATGATATTAAAATTATTCAAAATTTTAATACTTGATTGACAAGCTTGATATGCATGAATAAGTTACGTTTGATATGTATCCTATCAAAAAACATAGGTTTTTTTATAGGAGAATGAGATAGGCCGTAAAATTAGACATGTGAAACTTTTTCGCATAACACACACAAAAAATATGGATCTTATATGAACATCGAAACATAAAAAATTGTGGTAATTTATATCATCTATTTTAACAATGGTAAATATTTACTTTTTTTAACATATTATCAATTAATCATTAAACTTGATAGTTGTATATGACAAATTCATAGAAAAAAGCAAAAGAGAAAATGATTGCTGAGATTGAAGTAGAATCTAATAGTTTTCTCAACATGCAAGAAATGAAAAATTGAATATTCATAGAAGTTGTTGGAAAAGAAAAGCATGAACGGTCCGAGGCCTTGGATTGGGTCCAACACCATTTGCCTACTATGGACATAGCTCTCAGCAATTTACATTTCAGCAAGTCAATCTTCGCGAGACTTTTTAATATTGAGAGGGGAGTTACAAACTATGCAACAATGTTTTCGGTAAATGGAAACAGAAAAAGAACAGGAGCGTGCCAAAATTGAGGAAGAACATGCTAGAATGGAGTAAGAGCATGCAAAATTTTAGCAATTACATGATCATTCGATCATTTTATGAATTTTGTGCAACAACAATTTTCAGGAAATGATCTTGGTTCTCCACCAACTCAATTATTATATTTAGTAAATATTTAAATTTTTAAATATAAAAAAAGCTTACAATGAAGTGTTAAAAATTATATGGTATTATTCAGTAGATTCTTAAGCATGCTGGTGATCAAAGTGAAAATTTTTCTTCATCAATTAGCAACCAGTAAAATGTATGCAGTCATCCATTTCATATATTTTTAATTTTTATTTTGTTAATGTATTAAAAATATTTGAATGTTATTATACTAATTATTAAATTTTGCATTAATTAGATGCATATTTAAACATGAATTAAGTTTATATTAATTTTAATTTCTAAATTTAAGCTCTTTAATGAAAATAAAATTTATTAACAGAAGTTAAAAAAATACATTTTTATATAATGACAGCGTTTGCGTTCAACAATATCACTAAATGAATAATTTAATGACGTTTGTATCATAAAACGTCACTAAAAGTAGTAGCACTCTCATTAGTAAATGTCGTTAATTAATGACATTTTTTTATACAAACGCATCTAAAATAGCGATGTTTTCAATTATAAATACCACCAAATTAACAGCGTTTTTCTTATAAAAACGTCATTAATTTAACGGTGTCTTAAAGATTAAAATACCGCTAAAATGACGGCATTTTATATATAAACGCACTAATAGTGAGGTATTTTTTTGAAAATGTTGTTAATTTCTACGATACGTGTATAACCGATACTTTGACTGATATTTTTTGCAAACGTCGTAAATTTTTTAATGACGTTTATAAACACTGCTAAATATTAAAATAAAACGTCACTAAAACTTAAACCGTGTAGTGATAATTATTGCATAAACCAGGAATAATCTGAAGTTCAACTTGTGTAATTTCTCTAAACGATTCTGGTTTCTTCTACACTGTATAGGAATATTTTTTTGGAACTTGACAGCAAAACAAGTGGAAAAACCATGACTGGCCACGATCCTTATTAGACGTTTTCAATGCGCCAAGGACGAATCTGTTTGAATGAACCAAAGTTTTTTTGTTTTTTTTGGGCTAAATGAAGGAAAGCTCAGTACTTGGGGCTTGATATTAACCGGAAAACAACGGATAGAATCTATTCTCTGGTAATTGTGATTAAAAGATATATGCCTTTCTTTTTCTCTTTTTCTTTATCTCCTTTTTTTTTAGAATAATCAAAGTGCTGTCTCAGATAAAAAAAAAAAGTAGATTCAAAGTGTGATGTGATGTAAAGCAAACCCATTCACTCAATGGCCAATGCCTATATAAAGGCTCAAAAACTGCCTTGTAGCACCAAGGGGCCAAATAAAGAGCTCAAGAGAAATCCACGGAACCTTAGCTATTGCCCCTATTAGCCTTCCCAACTAGTTCCCTGGTCAATTGCAATGGCTTCAGTGCAATGCTACAAACCTAATGAGAAAACCAGCTGCCACCAGAACCCCTCCTTAGGCGAGAAGGTCTCCGAGATGGCTAGCTCAATCTTCAAAGGCCATGGAAGCAACCACGGCCATGGCCAGACTACCGAACGCTACAGCCAGACAGAGGTCTACTACACTGACCATGGTGTGGAGAAAACCCAAACTGAGTACTACAGCAGCCAAACTGAAGAGCATAGCCCACGCCACACCATGTCCCACACGAGCCAGACTAATGGTCACCAATCCCTGCACCATGCATCCGGTGCTATGGCTTGCCAGGGTAAGGCCAAAAAGAGGGGTGAGGGCAAGAAGAGAGGCCTTCTCCAGAAGATCAAAGATGGCCTTTCTGGTGACAGCAGCAGCAGCGACAGTGAGAGTGACGATGAGAAATGTGGGACAAGAAAGGCAAGTTATACGAAACCTAAAGCTCAGAAAGTTTGGTGTTGGCTAAATTTTGATAGTGATTCCTTTTTCTTGAACCGTTTTGATTTGCTGAATTCTCACTGTTATCTAATTCTTTGTTTTGCAGAACTGAGAGCATCAGTCCTAGGGGATGGATCCATGACCAAGTTAATGAAGGTTTCATATGGTATAAAATAAATAAAATGGGTTATGGAATCAATAAAACTACCTATGTGGCATGGATATTACTAATATACTATATGTAGTGAAGAAATGCTGCTATACTATAGGATGCCCCTTCATGTAAAAGTGCATTTCTATTATTAATATCAATATATATTAATATTAATAAAGAACAGAATAACTGAATTGGAATCCTCACCAAATCCTGGAATACTCTCTTGATTTTAAAGAAGTTATCATCTACTTTTTTCAACTTTAGGTTTATAAATAAGATCTTATCCTTTCATTAAAAAAAAAAAAAGATCATAACATTTCTATATATATATAAAAAAAAAAGAAATTAAGATCATATAATTTACAATATTATTCTGCAATTCAGCTTCTATGTCGACAATTCTTGGTTTCTGCCTTGTATACCAATCATTAGCCTTGATTAGACTATACCAATTTAAAAATCAATCCTTCTGGAATTCATGAAAATAGCTTGATCTTCAACCATGAAGATACAATAGCTTCTTGGTCAGATGAATAACCATATATACATACATACCCCATCAATCGTTCATCTATAAATCGATCTCCGATATAGACAAATGGAATATCAAAGTTATTCATGTAACATGTACTAGTGAACTACAAAAAACAATCAAATTCACAATACATTAGGAGGAGAGATACTGAACATTAGCAGAAAAAGACGTACGGTGTCAATGATGAAGACTGCAAAATTACATCAAAAGTATGGGGGATTGAATTCATGATGAAGAGAGATATTCTCTACATGTACTATCTATTAAGAAGCACAAATTAAATAAAAAAGAACAAAACATAAGAAGTAATTTCATGCAAATCTTCAAAATTAAATGAATTTTTATCAGCAATGGAGATTATAGAACCATCTGCTGGTTTCCGATTTCACCATGGGATAAATCGACAATAGGATGTCAAACAGGTGATCCAAAGAGTTCCAGTAACAAAGTTAACATTTCCTCCACTAATCGGACCACCTGATCTTGAAATCCCATTTACCTATAATTAACCATTTCTCACCATTGTTGTCGACCTTTACATCTCAAGACATATGACTCGCATATTTCAATAGAAAATTGCCACTAAAGATCCCCTGGAAGAAATTAAACATCTTGTTTTACGTCCTTGCCAAATATTTGGAAATGATCATACCAGAAAAGAAACGAAAATAGAAAAAAATATTTTTTTTGTATTCAATGATCCATTTCTCTCTCAAAAGAGTGACCCAAATTTGAAACAGCTTTCTACAAGACAAACAGGAACATATTATTCATAAACTAGGAGGTACAGGTGGAGTAGGGTTCCCGCTGGAACAAAACGGCTTTGTAGATCCGTCTAAAACTAGCTGATATTAAGTGGGTTATGAAAGAAGATATTATGTGACACGTGAACTATATATATTGAGTAGTCAAAGTAGCCGTTATTTTTATCGTGTAACAGTTATAATGAGTTGGGTTGGTTTTCTGTCTTCTTAATTGATCGAGTTTATCGGGCTCAGGCCTTTTATATATATATGACCTGCAAATTAGAATATTCTAGATCTAATAATAAAAAAAATGAAATTTAACGCATCTTCTATCAAGGACCCACGAGGGCTTTTAAGAGTTCTTTCAAAATTTTCCATGCAATTGCTTAAAAAAATATAAATTTATGTGAAGTAAGAGGTGAAAATGATTAACATTCAACAAAAATGAAGCCAGTCTCTCAAAAGAAAAAAAAATGCTAGAAACAACAATAACGTAAAAGCTTAATCTCTAGTTTTTTTTTTAATTAATTTTTTAAGAGTTAAATTTGCTCGCTTCATTTTGATCAAAGTAGATTTTTTTTTTTAAATCAAAGATTTAAATAAATCAAGTTAAAAAAAAAAAATTAAAGTCGGACTTAAGGGTGCTTCATTCCATCCTATAATATCTGTAGGAATAATTAATTAAAGTGTAATTTACATTAAAAAATAATTTATATTAAAATTACATTAAAAAAATACATAAAAGTAAAATTGTGGACGTAGAAATAGCAATAATTTCGAAAACTATGGAGAGAACTGTTCTGCTAATTAAAGAAGTCCCACAAATCAGAATTCCAAAAAAAAAGTCTGGAAGCAATCCTTATCAATTCCTCTATGCAAATTGTCAAAATATACCCAAATAGACTCGAAGCATTTGTTTGGTGGGCATTCTCATATGAGTTTTCAGAAAAATAATCTACTAACCAAAATCAAAGATAAATGTGAAATGGACATTGCCGTCAAGGAACTTATTCTGTAATAAAATGGACATTGCCATCAAGGAACTTATTCTGTAGGAGACTCTGATAGATAAGAAGGTGATAGAATTTCTTAATGAAATTTGGCCTATCTGAGAAAGTAGATTCAAAGGGTGATGTAACAAAATGCAAGAACCTCACTTTTCCATGCTTATATATAATTGCTATCTTTACATTTCCAAATTCAGTAGGCAACCTCAAGAGTGCAAGCCTGAGTGAAGTCCACAGACCCAAGTTGCTATGGCCACAGAACAATGCGAGCGCCCTGTTGAGAAAACCTTTCACGAAAAGAGCCATGAAAAACTGAGCACTGGCGATCAAATCCAAGTTCGCAAGGAACTGGTCCAAGCTAAGACTAAGAGTGTGAGTCAAATGCATGGCCACAACCTGGGCCCTGACATGACAAAAACGCATGCTGAGTCGAAGACCCAGAGCCGTGGCACCCACGCTCAGCAACATCCAGCTCAAGGCAGCATGGCCATGACTTGCCATGGTAAGAAAGAAAAGAAGACAAAAGAAAAGAAGGAAAAGAAACCTGAGAGCAAGAAGCAGCCCGAGAAGGAGAAGAGTAAGCACAAGAAGAAGTGCAAGGATAGCAGCAGCGATAGTGACTAAAGGTAAAGACCTGCTGCAAAAAGAGGCCACGAGTATGGATTTTTCTTCCTACCAAAAATTTCTTCACAATGCTTTATTCTGGATTCTGAAGAACATGAAGCCCAAGTGTACTAAATTGGCATAATTGGAACATTTTTACTTCCAGTAGAAGTTTATACGTGAAATCCCTCTGTCTAAAACTAGCTCCGCTATTAGCTTTATGATGATCAATTATCATGATCTAACCCTTTCTTTTTTTATTGGTTTTTGCAGAATAGAATTGTGAAGTACAGAGATACGCCTGGGCCTGGCACAGAGTGGTGCTATACTATATTAAATAAAAAAAATGACTAATGGCCGTGGGCGTAAACTGATTAGTTAAGACCTGTAGCCTCAACAACAGTCAAATATGGTGTTCCATACCATGTAAGACTGAAAATGATCATATCTGATCCTATTAAATAAAAAAGAAAATACGCATAGTTTTACGAATATATCATGGCTTGTTGATAATGAATGCTGAAATCTTTCACTTGATAAACATCCAAGGCCGCAGAACACGTGCAGCCTTTCTTCAGCTGAAAAAATATACTACTCCATATTTAAGCAAGCTAATTCAACACTGTTCTAGAATGAATGAATGAATGCCATATCGGCTGCCAGCAGATTGATATTTCAGGGGACGAAATTGAAATCAAAATGAGAAAAATTGAAAAAAAAATAGACCACCATGTTGCATTAAAAAGCAGAGAAGTAGCATCCTCCCCTCAATGCGAAATTTGAAGGTAACTCATTTTCTTAACAATATAAATCACTTGGGGACTGGGGTCGACCAAGGCCAGTCACAGACGAGGACTGCTAAAAATGGCCAGCTGTATCAGAGAAAAACTGCTCTACCCGAAAGTGAAGTCCAACAATATAAACAAATGTTTTGTACATACAAGTTTATAACAGCCACCAATTCATTCAAACTCAGTTACGCTTTTAACTCCATTAAAAGGTATTCAGGTTACAAGCACTTTACAAGAACGGTAACCTTCTCAGACAGGATGTAGTAGACATGAAAGAGAACAGCCTGCTCCAACACTTTAATACAATAGTACGATGCCAGGGGAAAAAGGAGCACATAAACCTTGGGTCTTAGCAATCCATTGGGACAAACGAATGCTATAGGTTTTAAAAGAAACTTGGACAAAAAGGATTCAGGCTTGTCTGCACTCTGCAGCAGAAGGAATCACCTTCGTCTCAAAGACCTGGAAACAAATGATGCAATGGCCTGAACAGCTGCATCTTCAGCTTCGTCTTGGGTTAATCCCTTTGTTTGGAGGTGCCTTTTTGAAATCTTGAGTGAGTGATCACCACCATCAATCTCATGCAACCCAGTCATTGCCTTCATTTTCTTACGAACAGCTTCTAGTTTTTCCAAGGGACAGAGACTGTCTTTGGTACCCTACACTCATGTTTGAAGTAAAAATAAATCAGAGCATTATAAGAACAACATAAAACTTTGAAGAAGTCTAAATAAATTTGGACTGAAAATCTCATGTTGCTCATAAAGATAACATCATGATAGTAGAAATGCAATCTCTAACAGGCACGTCAGCACACAGCAACACAAAGAGAACTAAATTTATAAATTTATCAGCTATAAAGTTTCTACAACAATGCCCAATTTTTGTACAACCAAAGGATGAAACTATGAAGACAGCCACATGCATTTTTACAAAAGAACCATGTACTAAGGCGGAAAGAATACCTGCACAAACATCACAGGAACTGTAAGTTGCAGCAAAGTGTCATCTCTCACAGCTCCATTCATCCCCTAATATTTAAGCAAGAAAGTATATTACAACAAGGCAGATTTCTGTTTCCAAGTTGCATCACAAAGGATACACTACCACTCATCAGGGGAAAAGTCCCTGTTTCCTGTCCAATCCCTAAGGAGCAACCAATCAGCATTCAGAAAGCTGACCTTCATTCATTATTTATTTATCTATTGGCTCTTGCTGTACAGAGAAGTAGAAGAAAAAGTTTGGCTAAAATACTAAATAGCCCTTGAACTTTACCATTTTACTTAGATAAACCCTTATACTTTGGTTGCATCCAAATAAGCCCTTATACTTTGATCTATATTCAAATAAGCCCTTATTTCAAACTAACTACTGCAATTTTTTCTAGTTTTCTTTAATAAAGTAAAAATTGACTCTTTATATAAGTAAAAGTTTTACTTCAAGCATTTGTGATCATGGAAAACTAATGTCTTACATGCATTATGTATTATGTTAAGGGCTTATTTAGGTACAAATTAAAGGTTAAAAGTTTATTGGGATACAAATTAAAAGTTAAGAACTTATTTGAGTGCAAATTAAAGGTTGAAAGCTTATTTGGGTGCAATAAAAGTATAAGGGCTTATTTAAGTAAAGTGGCAAAGTTCAAAGGCTTTTTTGTTATTTTAGCCAAAAAGATTTGCACAGTACCCTAAACCCTCTATATACTTGTACATTCTAATTCACTATTTTGATATTGCCATTTAGGAGAAGAAAATAAGGAAAATAATTCAACAAATGTCTTACTATGGCAGTTTAGAGAAATAAAAAAATGTAGCTTGCCCGGATGCAGTAAACTCCATTTACACTGATGCTGTTTATCATCCATAGCAAGACGGACATCATTAAAACTTACACTTCAATTCCATTAACTCTACATAGAACATGATCATGTAATGAAAGAAATGGAAAAAATGAAAAATCCCTCAAAGAACCATCAGAGTTTAAAAGATAGGAATTCCCTCATTATATTCATAAGTTGTGAAGGATTCCTTTATAAAGATCCAGCAAATAAAATGCAAAATTAAATGGATTAACCTTGAGGAATCTACAATAGAAGACGAATGGCTGTTAACTAGCAGATAATATTGAATTGATCCAATATAAACAAAATGAACCATCAGATGTCTTAATAAAATACATGAAACCAAACATTGGATATCATCTATGCGAATTTCAAAACCAGAACTGCACAAAAGTGAGAAAATGGCAAACCTTAAGTGGGTAACCTAGGCAAACAATTAATGATGCAGCAATGTCTTCCCTGCCAGCCACCATGCAGCTGATTCTACAAAAGAAAAATGACCTTAAAATAAGACATACTAGCAAGCATCAATGTAATTTATACAATTTTATAGAATATGAGCCACAACATTTCTAATGGAACATCAACACCAGGATTAGCGTCCCCGAAATCCTTGAGGCATAAAAGGGCAAAATACTAATAGCATTATATTCTACCTTGAACCCATTGATTTGCCAGCCAAAACCAGAGGATGCCCAGGATATTTGGAAACTGCATTTTTAACAATATCTGAGTGGAAATCTATCAATTTTTCTGCCTTGGGAGGAGCCTTTCTTTTCCCCCCAGATATATCTGCAAATACTCCAACAATCACTTAAATTTTACATTACAAAAATGAAAATGTCCATATTTTAAAAAATTTTCCAACTTCAAAATAATTTGATAAAAAAAGGATTTGACTGAGAAGTCAACTTACAAGGGTAGTCAAATGTCACTACTTCAACGGCGTTCAACGCCTTCTTTAACATTTCCCTCCATCTGCATAAATTTAACTCACTTAAGCATATAATAGAAAAAACTCATTTAAGCCGACTGACGTTTTGATAAATTGGCATGTAACGCTTGGAGGTAGTGAATTCCAAGGATCTTACACATATAAGCATAGTTTATGCGCGTAATGTACTCTTCAGCTAGTTCAGTTACTTAAATATTAGGATAGAGATCTAAGGGCAGATTAAAAATAAAAAAAAAAAAAAAAAAGAACAGAAAAAACCCATTTAAGATTTTTTTTTTTTTAAGGAAAAGGAAGAAGGGGGAAGAGGGACCTGATCATCCAATCAGAAGAGGAGGGGGCACCAGCACCATGAGCGAAGACTACCACAGGGGATGATTTGCCTTGGGTCAACGTAGACTTTGACGGCGATTCTCTATCAACGGTCCGATCTTGTCGTCTTCGCTTTGAAGGCGGTGGAGAAGCCATTCCTTGAAAGATTTCCCTTCCTTTCTTTTCCCAATTTGACACAAATAATTTGCTCTGAAATTTTCGTTTGGGCTTCTTCTCAAATGAGTTGAGAAACCGTACCAAACATAAACCGGAGTTGCCTCGGCGCCAGATACTGCTTGGTTACCTCCCCCCCACCCCCCACTTCCTATTCGACGTGTCACTTCAATCATTTCATCATCGATTGGATAAAGTTTTTGGGCTTTGAATGGGCGAAGGCCTCTTGATTTGGGTTTTACTGAAGTCCTTGTCCAAGTCTATTTATTTGGGATAATTGGATTAGTTGATCTATATGTAGAACCCCGCCCACGCATCCCACTACATCAATTTTGGTTTCTCATACAACATTTTTTGAAAAACATGCTTTGATATTTTTGGGACAACATTTAAGTAACTTGCAATTAACAGAAAACTAATCCCTAATGTTGTTGTCGCTAAATTAGGTTGGTATTAGGGTGCCATGTTCGGATTATATATAATAGTAAAAACACTAATGTGATGGATCAATGATATTTTTCTAAGCATAAACTTATGATATAAAAAAAAAATTACTGATGATTTATTAATTTAATTGAATGAGTGTTTAGAGAAAAATTTTGGTGATGTCAGAGATATTTTACTTCATTTTTTTTTTTTTTGGAGTGGTCATAAACACCCCACCATCAAGCATAGATCCGCCACTAAACACTTGTGCAAAGTGATATAAAATTAACCTATGGTTTAACCCAATTGTTTTATGGTACTGAACACTTGTGCAAAGTGATGCAAAATTAACTCAAAGGCTTAACGAAATTAGTTAATATATTTACTATTAAAAACTAACATCCAATAAATTTAGGATTCAACTAATAATATTTGCAACATTTTCATTTATTTTTAAACTACAACCTTTTTTATAAAAAATGTAAAAAAATATTATTTTTTTTAGAATGCATCCATTCTACATCTTTCTTAAGATTATATAGAACAAGATATAAAATTAAATTAAATTTATATGTCATACATTTAAAAAAAAAAATCTTACAAAATATAAGTAATTAACATGCACTTCAAAATTGTATAAATAAAGAATCGAAATGTTTAATTAGAAAAAATTTAATCCGACAGGACACATATTTTGTCCCTGAAGTTGATGGAAATTACCACTGATTGTTCGATATCGATTCCATTATGTATCTGACACTACTTTTTCAACCTCAACTTTTCGGACTAGATAGCTAACCCTTTTTTATGAACCCTTTGAATAATTTGAAGCTAAACTCATGCGGCTGGATGGACGGTCATGGAAATATTGTTTATTCATGTTGATTCCTGATTGTAAGTGTCAATACTCGATATAGAGCTATAGGAAAAGTTAAAGAGAACAAGTTTAAGGACTGGCCTATTGTCTTGCAAGATACGCAACTAATTTTAGAGATTAAAAGCAAGGAGATGGGAAGTTGGAATGAAGAATGTCAACGGGGAATTAACCTATAGTTGACCTTCAAGATACAATCATTCATGCATGGATAAGTATGAGATGCCTACGCCCACTAAATAGCTTGCTTTAATTATTCTTTTAACTCGAGAAAAAGATGGATTGCCTTGTCAAGGTTCTTAAGGGCCAATTCTCATGTTTTTGGGTCATCCTCGAATGGTTTCAAGCTCACATGAGCTCTAAAATCATTCAAATTTGATTGGTTTAGTAGCACTTACACAACATAATTCTAAGAACTTCAAATTCTGTCGTAATTTGCTTTAATTAGAAGTGGCGAGCTCATCGTGCGCATGAGCATTTCTGATCATTGACTTCGAAGTCTTTGGAGAGGTTCCTTGGAAGCAAGAGGGTCTGGTTTGGTCCCAAAATGTCAAGTGCCAAGATTTGGAGGGAGCCATATCAGATTAAACCCACCAAATGTTTTTCTCCAGAATTTTTATATGCGCTATAACTTTTTCGAGTCCTATAAAATGGTCTTCTTATAGCCAATTCTCTTCAGGGTGAACCAGCCAGACCAATCAGCAGAAAAAAAAAAAAAAGGGCTGGATCTTACAAGGTATTGGTTGCTCACTCTCCCTCAAAGACTTCCAGCAGCAATCCTGGACACTACCCCAGCAATGCTTGAAGTCTTTGGGGAGAGTGAACAGAACGTGTCTTGATTATGATAATATACATATATAGCTAGTAATTAACAGTCGTGCATTTCCAATTGAATTCATTGCTCACTCTCCCTCAAGGGCTACTGAATTTGCCTGTTTAAGGGCTTAAACGCAAGCGCTTGGGGCGAGAGTGGATAATGTTCACCATTCTTACTGGGTACATATTTTTTGCAGGCCATATCTATATACGAGGTGAATGATCACCAAACCTGATTCCTGAATCTTTTACTTCTTTGGATATCATCCACTGGAAGTAAAATCTGAACCAGAAAAATTGCTAGTTTCAAAACCCAAGTTTCATGTTGCAGGCTTGCAGCAGGGCATGCAATATACTTTTCAACGCGAGAGAAGAATACTAGTTGTCAGCCTGATCGATTGAGCACTCTGGTGAAATCCTATCGATTTTTCTCATATACATGGCTTATATAGTTTTTGAAAGCTTAGGCCTTAGAATGGTTTATACACAGAACTCACTCTAAAAAACTTAATTATGTGACATTAAAACTAGTGAAGGGACATCCATATAACGTGTAGCAGCAGGCAGAAACTTTACCCTAAAACTACTAGCTAGCTCAATGCACAAAAGTCAAAGAGTCAATAGTTTGTGTCCTATTTCATGCTTTATAAATGCCAGGAATTTTCGTTTTCGAAGCATAATAAAGAGGAAGGATAAGGATTAATTCCTTTTCGTCCCTATCAGTTGGAAAATTTTTACTTATGGAACGAACACATATAGACTTAAATATATTTGTTGCAAGTTGGATGCCAGTAATCAGTAATGATGATTGTCGACAGCTAGAAGCCAGTGGCAGGAAGGTTCATGTATAGCTCCACTAGATGGTCCAAAATATTCGCAATAATAAGGAAAAAAAGCTTCCTTTCAAAATCATACTACTATTAGTTTCTCCCTCCATTTTTCTTTTGGATGCATTTAAATTGAATGATTGTGACTTTGCGAGCTGAAACAATATCTGAATCAAATTAAAAGACAATAACTCGGCATGTTTTTTGCCTTGCTTCCAGTACTCTCTAACATTTCATATGGTTCCTGGCCAACAAGAAACGATGATGGAAGGCAAGCACTCTAATTAAGGAGCGTTCTTTCAGTGATTTTCTTACAGCAGAAAAGGCGGTCTTAATTGAAGAAAAGGATCTCAGATGAAGGACAAATAAACGGTGGTGAATGCTACCAAAACATGTTGCATGTGACGATGACCCACAAGTCAGGCACTCTCTCAAACTTTGTTGAAAATTGGAACCGTTTCGAGTACGTTGGCCCTGCTCCTTTCATAACCTTAACTAGATAAAGTGGTGGGAGACATGTATGAATTGTTTCAAATCACCTGTCCCATCCTACCCAGCCAAACCAGCCAAACCAGCCAACATAAATTAAAGGAGAGAGGGAATCTATCTTCATTTGTGTTTGTATGCCTCTGATCAGTTGGAACAAGAGTTTTATGGACTTTGGCATTCTTTTGATTTGTTGGATCCCAGCTACCTCTCACAGTCTCTATGGCCCCAGTATTACCTTGTTCTTTGATCATGTTATCCCTCATTTAATTACTTTTGATTGGTGATTTTTAAGTACTTCAAATTCTTCCTTTTCTTGCTGAGCACATTAAAGAGTCTGAGCTGGGAAAGCCAAGAGGAATTTGTGATCTATTGATTCCTATTTTACCATCATCACGAATGGAAAATAATCAAATAATTGATCAACTAAATTTACTTGATCATTCAAAGCAGAAATGTTTATATAACATGTTAAATGTGTATCATGTGCAATGAGGTGTATCAGGATCTGCCTAATTCTTTCCAATTGATTAGTAGCCACTCATCTTGGTAGGGCCATTTAGTACTGTCAATCAATGCCTTTCAAACACAAGGAATTTTCTTTTCTAAAATCAAATTTGAGGTAAGAAAGCTCAAACTAAATATTCAGAACTTCATATGCAATATCTTAATTTAAAAGAAGTTAATTACCACTACTTATACACTTAATCTGATCCATTAAAAGCTAAATTAATTGCTTAATGCTGCTGATAATTGAAAGATATGGAGAAATAGTAATATCCAAGATCTCCTAATTATAGAAAAGTGGTAATATAATGGCAGAAAAATGGATATTTCCTGACTTAGATCTCCCTAGGAACGATCAGTCTTAACCCTTTTTATCCAACATATCCGCTTAAACCTACTTGCACAAATGTTCTGCAAACCTACTTTTTATTCTCTTCTGCAAACTTCAAGCTTTTTTGTATTCTATTGCTAGCTGCACTAAGCAAGCTCTTGATTCTTCTCCACAACTCTTACCCCATTGGCAGATCTAAGCACATTGGCCTGATTTCATTAAACAACCATAAATAAACAGAAGGACCCAAAAAGTCAAAAAAAAAAATGAAACATATATAGAGTTAACTTGAGAGACAAATAATTATAATAAACAAACGGCAGAAATGACAATGTCATAAAGATCACCTGAGCTTCTGTGATTTCAACTGCAAAACCATCAACAATGACCAAAGATAAGGTCTTCTTGTAGCTGCCAGCTTGAAGGGTGCTTGCCAACAGCTCATCGTGCTTCCTACTCAGATACAAATCAAGCTCGGACGCCCCTTTCTTTGTTCTTGAGAATTGAGACATCCACCCAAAAGGAGAAAAAAAGAAACATGGAGGGAGAGAACAAGACAATAACATGAGAAATAACATCGAGAAGAGTCTTGCATATTTATTAATATGAAGTAGTAATGATATAGAGAGCTGACCGATCAGCTCGAAGACGCTGGTATTCAGGATCATAATTCATGAAAACAAAGTATAACTCAGTTTTTGTGCTTCCCATTGCCACTCTTGAGTCCTTTTTTTTTTTTAAAATAAACAAATAAATTACAGCTATACCAATGTCCAGCTAGCTCTATCCTATATGTTTTAAGTATTTAGTTAGCTTTTATATATAATTTTTGGTGTCAAACATGGAGAAATTTTCTTAAGTTACAGAATTACCCCTATATATTGCTTTGGCATATTGGCCTTTTTCTCGCATTCTACTGCTCCTGCCAATTGTCAAAATGAAAGAGGCTTCTGGATCAATGATGGGTAAAAGAGTTGAAGTTCCTATCTGTGGTTTTAGAGAAGTTAACCAACATGATTATGACAAGAAAGACAAAGAACCCTAATTCCAAAATCTAAACTAAAGAAATTAATATTGTAGAGGGTACTGTGAACCTTTTCATTGACCTTGCTCTTGACTGTCCGTGCAACATTTCTATATATTATCCTGTCGTTGATACCGACAAAGAGAAACATTAAACTAACAACTTACTGTAAGCACCACGAAAACTAGCTTAATGTCAAAGATGCCTTTCACACTACCGATATTTATATAGTCAAATAATATTTTTGTCCAAATGAGTGTCCTGTGTCATTTTATCTGATTCACTGGTAGACATTGGAGGCATTAATCTGCTCATACCTCTTAAGAATTGAGTGCGTACATATATGTGCAACAAAGAACACTCTATGTTTGTACTAAGGTCTTGTTTGATAATTTATTAAAAAATTTCTTTACATTTAAAATAAAAATTTTTTACATTTTAATTTTGTAAGATGTTTGATAATGCATTTTAAAATTCACTTAAAAGATTTTTTTCAATAAAAAATGTTGAATATTAAGATAAGTAGGTATAGATCTACTTATCATTTAATGCAGAAAATATTCAATAATTTTTTTTATATTATTATTTCCTAAAACACTACTTCATTATCTGAAATAAAAATAAAGGTAAAAAAATAAAAGTAATAAATTTTTAGAATTTAATATTTTACAATTGTCAAACAATATATTTAAATTCAGCATTTAATTTTTAATAGAATATCAAACAGTTTTTATAATTTAAATATAGTACTTATCAAATTTAGTCTTAAAAATTCAGAATTTAATTTTTCAACATTTAAGTCTTCAGTTTATCAAACATAACCTAAGTAATAAAGATTTGAGAAAATAATAATATTATATATATATGCATGTATTTGTTTACGTAATAGTAGAAAGGAAAGGAAAAAAAATGAATTTGAAGCTTAACTTAGTTATTTTATGCAACAATTAATAAATTTGTGATTCAAATCTCAATATGTATAATCTATTTAGCTAATAATATCAACTGTAGTTCATTTGAGTTGGGAGAAGATGACAATGTCTACCTTGATAAGAACTTAAGAAGCAACTGGATGTAGAAAAAGTTACTACTATAAAGGGAGATATGCAACTAAATTAATGCACTCCCAATATTTGAAGGATTAAAAAATCTTTTAACGCGTTATCAATCAAAACAACCATACTAATTGGATATTATAGTAGTTTAATCAAATTGAAAAAAAAATATTTTTAAATCCAATTGTCAGTTTGATATACGTCGAACAAATAGCAGATTCCATTAGCGGTTTAAGTTTCTATGTAACCTTCCATGTGAGCTTGAAATCATGCATGTTAAGGCAGAATTAGGAACCCAAAACCCTTATTTATATATAGTAGAAGTTTTTTTCTTGGGTCCCAACCCACTAGTATGATTCATGGGAGTTGTACAGTTTCAGTGTCACAACAGCATCAAAATGACTGCAAGCAGGAAACAGTATTATAACTAAAAGTTAGAGAAGCCCCATCTTTTTCATTTTGATGGTGAGAAAGACCTTTATGTAAGAAAGCTTGAAAATTATTGTGTTCAAAGTTCTGAAAATTGTGGGGCATCTTCATTTGGCATTTGCTTGATTCTTGAAAAGTGCTTGAATTTGTGGTCTCAAGTACTGTGAAAAAATAACTGAGCAAAAATTGAATTTTTTATTCCATCTTTCTTCCTTTGTTTCTCCCCCAAACCCACCCCCACCGTGCAGTACCCTGAGTCTACCGCAGATCTTTTGAAAATAAAATAACAAGGACCAACTCCAATATTTTCCCTTTTCTCAATGCATGCTCTCAAAAACATTTCAACCTTTAAACAAAGTTGTAGAAGAAACTTTGTGTAGATTAATCAAAATATCATCAAGCAGGTGGACCAAGAAGGCAGACAATTAGGATTGAAGAAAATCCATGCAATTCCTTCCGATCAGAAGAATTTTATTTTTTCCGTCCCGAATTTTTGGACGGTGTTAATTTTTATGAAATTTAAAAAAAATTAATTTTAATATTAAAATTAAAATTTTATGATTTTTAATGTTAAAAAAAATATTAATATTAATATTAAAAAAAGGACATCTTAAAAAAAAAATTGAGACTGAGTAACTACAATTATTTGCATCCAAAGTATTACTCATTACAATTCTGACTTGGCTTGACACTGAAGAAATTCTGAGAATGGAAGGGAACATTACACAATAGGAAGGTGAACTACAGTACTATTGTAGGCCCACCCACCATCTATTATCTTCACGTGTCAATTCATCAGAGAATGGAAGAGGGGACGGGACCGATACTTTGAGATTCCTCATGAAGAGAGATGACAGACGTCTGAGAATTTGATTGGAAACTGCGGCTTGGGTTCAGACAGCTTGCAGTCACATGGTGGTCCTCAGTTGCTCATTTGTGACAGTATACAAACCCACACGTGCGGAACCCTAGCTTTGTTTGACAGTTCAGATTCCAACTCCATGCATAAGTAAAATGTTATCCAATGGGCGATGCACCAAACAATTACCAATTATTATTATTATTATTATTATTATCCTTTCGGCTTCCATATCGAGGAACCACTCACTCGTTTTGGTTATTGTTTTATACTAATTTCACCTTTAAAAATTTTCAATTTTGGCTCTGTGAGAAAGTGAAAAAAATCTCCTATGACTAGAAACCAATGTTATTTTGGCCAGATCAATTAGTATATGGCCAGATCTGGCCATAACGGTTGTGGTAATATAATTTCTTTTTTGTAATTATATAATTACACGATTATAATAAAATTTTATAGACAAAATTTTTCAATAAATGAATCAAGATTTTATACAATAAATTTTAATCAACACTCCAATTTCACAAGCAAAATTAATAAAATAATATATACCTCTTCGAAATATAAAATAAATATTATAAAATAAAATGTTCGACAAATTTTTGAAGCCCATGTATAAACACTACTGTATATCCCATTCTTAGTAACCATAAGACTTACAAATAGATATAAACAGAAAGACAATGTGAACCTTTAACTAATAGTAATGCTACTAATAGCAACTTGCTTTCTTTTTTTAAATAAAAAATAAAAACAGTAGTAATAATAGAGCAAAAAAATTCTGCTTGATATTATATGAATTAATTGAGCAAAATAATAAAAATAAATTCTTTGCATACAACAATCATATTTTATGTATTCGGGACATAAAATCTCACGGTTGCTTAAAATATGCTTATTTATTAAGTAGAATTGTGTTAGTGAATATTAAGTGAAAATTCAAATACCCAATCATAAAACTTTTTTTTCATTATAAAAAAATGGAAATTAAAGAACTAAAAATTTCAAAAATGCAAATAACATGTCTATTCATAACTTCATAAAGCCCCTTTTTTCCCTGGTAGTCTTGTCCGATTACGGCAGAGAAAAGCTCCAAGCAGGTAAATCCGAAAACCTTCGTCAAATACTATGATTAAAGTAATTATCATTACAGCTGTTTCTGAAGCTAAGCTAATGTAATAAAGAATTTTGCAAAACCGTAGATTTGACTCCCAAACATTAACCTTTGATATGCAATCGCCAACCACTGATCGATTCTTGAATTGTTTATATATATATGCTGATCAAATCAACTAATCATCCTTGTTTTTTTGGTTTTGTTTTTAAAAATACAGATAATGTCTTAACACAGACAAACAGCTTAGTTAGTACTATTGAGAATATCACTAAGATTCAACAGGATTTGCTCTATTGAAGGCCTGGCCTCTGGCGACCTGTTTGTACAAGCCAAAGCAATGTCCAAAACCTTCAAAGCTTGATTCCGTTCTTTCCCTTGTACATGAAATTCAAAAAATGCATTGTTACCCAGTTTTACACTTTCCTTTGTGTCAACTATGCACTTTATATAGCCTGGATCCGTCACTCCCGCCAGCAGGTCTAGTAAAACTAGCCCGAAATTGAATATGTCACTCTTTTGACTCAAATTCTCACGGTAACTAGTTCCTGCCCCCTCATTATCAGATTCTTCCACGCAGTCAGCTAACTGGACGAAGCCATAATCTGATAACCGAGCCGTCAGGTCGATGTTTATCATGACGTTGGAGGATTTTATGTTTCCATGAAAGTTCATTTTCATGTTCTTTTCATGTGGAGGGGATTGTGCATGGATGAAACCGATTGCTCGTGCAACGTAAACTATTATCATCAGACGTTCATTCCAATTTAAGGCAGTTTGGCCAGCCCTTCCACCTTGAAATCAAAAGGAACAATGTTCAAATATAAATTCCATACATGTTTATAAGTATTTGAAAAAAAAAAAAAAACTCATCGACCTGGTTTAAATCCCTGAAATCAATATCTATGGATGCAAGCTAAGGTTTATGATGGAATTGAGAAACTCACCTGAAAGCAAGTCAGCTAAGCTTCCCATGGGATAGTAGTCGCAAACAACAAGCTTGATCCTCTTGGCATATAAATAAGCAGTGATTGGGACGAGATACTCGCACTTCTTGCAAACCTGAGCCAACCTCTCAACTCTCGTGCCGAACTCACTCTTTCCTACTATAACCTTCCGAAACCTCTTTAGAGCGCAAAGTCTACCCTTGGATAACACCACTTTTTCTGTCAATCCCCTGTTGTTCTCTCCCATCACACCGACGGACGTCCTCAAAACCTCCTTCAGGGACAGCGTTGGCCCATGATTTTCACAAGAAATCAGCGGCAGATCATCCATCAATCCTACTATGCCATCACCGTATTCAGAGATGGACCCTGACCTGCTATGTTCACCGTAGTCTTTAAAATTCCTTTTGGGTTTTGTAAAAGCCCTTGTGAGCATTTTTTTTCTTGTGAAAGATGAAAACTATGGGGTTTCTGATTTGGGGTTTGTGGAAAAAATTAAAAGGGAAATGGTGGTTCTAGGAAACGGGTTAGGGGGAGTGGGGTTTGGATCCAGTTTTTTTATGGTTTAGATTGGTTTGACGTGTGGGTTTTTCATTGTAAACATCGAATCCAGGGCGGTGATACTTTGGTTTGGCGTTTTCTGAGGTTCATGTAATCCCAAGGAATGAATCCATGGAAATTCTCTTCGATTCTTGTTGGCTAACGCATACTTAGAAACAGCCTTAGATTTATTTCGTTTTGTAATTGTATTCCATCTACTGAAGTTAGATTCAAAGGTACATGGCCTGATAATTTCATCAGGGCCGTCTTTCTTTTGGATTTTTCTATATCACTTTGAACTGGGTACATCATCACGAGCCATATGAAATTGTTCGGATTTGTCTTGAATCTCATATCGAAAGTTAGTAAATTTTGAATTTGTCTCATATCTCACATTGAAAGTTTAGTAAAAGTATAAAGAGTTTCACCCTTATAAATAAGATATTTTGATTTTAGTTTGATTATCCCAGAGAGTTAGACACTAAGAAAATAACTAAGTGAGTAGGCTATTAAAGGGTGTAATTAGGTTTTGGGTTAAGTTTTAAGTAAGGAGTTTTATGAGACTTTTCTCATTCTTAAAAGTCTTACAGTTGTAAAGATTTATTTGTTAGTAAATTGTATTTGGAATAGGCTACTTTGAGTTGGGTCGAACCAAATATATTTGTGTGTTCTTATTCTTGATTTGAGCTTGCTATTTTGTATGTGGTTACTGTGTGTGGGTGTTGATTTTTTCAACAAGTAGTATCAAAGCCATGTTCGAGGTTTAAGGTTCGTGAGCCCAAGAGATCGTGAAGCATTGTTTCAAGATGTCTGAAGAAGGTATGTCTAGTATACCTATATCTAACTTTGAGATTTCGTTATTTGATGAAAAGAGTAATTTTATGTTATGACAAAATACGATTCAAGATCTATTAGTACAACAAGGGTTAGAGCAGGCATTAAAGAGTAATAAGCCTAAGGGAAATGTCTGATGTTAATTGAAATAGGATTCAGAAAAAGGCTGTTAGTACTATTAGATTGACGTTAGCTCCAGAAGTAAAGTACAGTGTGTTGACTGAGAGTACTCCAAAAAATTTGTGGGATAAGCTTGAAGGTATTTATGCTTCGAAGTCGTTGACTAATAGATTATGTTTGAAGATGGATCTGTATTCTCTGAAGATAGAAGAATGTATGAGTCTTCATAATCACCTGAATGAGTTTAATATATTGATTTCTCAATTGCTAGTAATTTTCTGTTGATGAGTTAAAAGATGAAGAGAAGATTTTAATTTTGCTGTCATCTTTGCCCAAGTCGTATAGGCCTTTAGTTCAGACTGTGTTGGTGGGCAGTTCTACTTTGAAGTTGAATGATGTGACTGCTCTATTGCGTAAGAATGAAAGGTTTATAGGAGCTCAGAACTCATCACCTAAGGGGAGTACACTAGCTGTAGATGGTTTTGATCGAATGAGGACTCAAAAGAAGATTGATGGATCAAGAGAGAGATCTAAGTCAAGAGACAGAGATTACAATGATATAAAATATTATTATTATAGTGAGAAGGGACATATCCAAGTGCGTTGCAGGAAGCTGAGAAGGTGGCTGCTTTTAAAAGGGCGAATGATGAGAAAAAATCAGATGAAAGAAAAGAATGATATTGCTGCTATCGTGTCTGATGATGATGATGTTGTTTTGACAACTTATGTTGATGAGACTAAGACTTTCAAAAGTGATAAAGGTTGAATTTTAGATTCAGCTGCTACAGTTCATATTTGCAATGATAGGAGTTACTTTGTAGAGTTGGATGAGAATGAAAAGTATGGGATATTGTGATTGCTAACAAAGAAAAGGTGCAGATTCAAAGCATTGTGAGTGTTCGCCTTAGATCTCACAATGGTGTTATTAGGACATTTCGTCATGTAAGGTATATACCAAGTTGTCACTACAATTTGATTATTTTGGGTGAGTTAGCTTTCTCAGGGATACACATATTATGGTAGTAATGATTAGTTGAAAATGTACAAGAATGGTAGTGTGATTCTACAAGGGAATATGATCAAAAATCACTTGTACATGCTTGATGAAGGCTCAGTTGCTGAGATCCCTATGCTGAAAAAAAAAAAAGGTAAGCGTGTTAGCTTTATAGATATTATTGAAGTATTTGAAGATTCAAGTCAAGAGAGGATTTGTTGGGATTTGCCTTGAATCTCATAATCCAACATCGAAAGTTAGTGAGTTTTGAATTTGTCCAATATCCCACATCGGGAGTTTAGTAAATGTATAAAGGATTTCACCTTTATAAATAAGATGTTTTGGTTTTAATTTGATAATCTCAGAAAGTTAGACACCAAGAGAATAGCTAAGTGAGTAGGCTATTAAAATGTGTAATTTGGTTTTAGGTTAAGTTTTAAGTAAAGAATTTTAGGAGACTTTTCTCATTCTAAAAGTCTCACAGTTGTAAAAATTTATTTGTTAATGGATTGTGTTTGGAATAGGCCAACTAAATATATTTGTGTGTTATTATTCTTGATTTGAGCTTGCTATTTTGTGTATGATTGTTGCGTGTAGGTGTTGATTTTTCCAACAAAAATAACATTCTTTTCTATTGGTAATGGCAAGAGAAGATATACATGCAATACAAGGAGATGACAATTGTTCCTTTTATATATATATATATATATATATATATATATTTATTTATTTATTTATTTATTTTGCAAATAGTTGGCCTGCACATTGGAACTAATATAGCAGCTTGTTTCAAATCGATAAGTAGATATACCGAACATGATTAGTGGCACAACAAGAATCTTTCCTCCTTTGAAAACCTCCATCCATCATAAAGATTATTGAGATTTCAGATTCCATGGTGAGAACAATACACGCATGATATGACTTTAGATACAATGTAGACATTTGCTTTTTCAGCTTAACCAAATGTTTCTTGAAGTACGAGTAAGCCTCTGCAATTCGCATAATTTTTTTTCTAGCCACTTTAACACTTGCGGGGTTGGGGCTACTATTTTTGCTGTTAATACTAGTAAAAAATTAGGCCCAAGAACAAGGTATAGCCTAGTTTCGCTTTACCTTTAAAGGCCAGTTAAAGTACCTCACGAACTTAACCAACAGCCAAGAGCCCAGACATTGAGGACCAAATCAGGCCATGAACCCATGAGTAAGGTTTGGCCCTTAAAATTAGACACACACACCCAAGAAGACAAGAAGATAAACCCATATTTTTTAAAATTTTCTCCCACAATTGAGCCTTGGTTCTTCCGCCAGCTTTAACTAGTTGTTTGTTCCCATCCGATATGATCCTCAGTTTGGAAATTTATTAATCCCGCACTGATACGCCAGATTACAGTACAGCCCCTACCCTGGATCTAACTTTGCTCCCCAGACCAACCAACATTATTGCTACCTTCAAAAGGCTCAAAAGGGATCGTCAAAGGGGTAAAGATGTAATCAGAAGAAGCAGTCGGACACATGTTCCATAGTCAAACCTAGTGATTTGTCGTATGAGACACCAAACAAAAGTTTCAATGTGAATCACCAGTCAGATTTCCCATAGGTTTTTAATATGGAAAATTATTAGATATATGCAACTTTCTCCTTCCTTCAACCAAAAGCCACGTGTTTGGTCAGCCCGTTGCCCGCTTCCGGCATCACCGCCTGTCCCAGTCAAAACTGCCCAATCCCTTTATATTCCCCATTTCTTTACGTTAACCATCTACCTTTCTCTTTTAGAAAAAAATGGCTCGATTTAGCGTTTTGTTCACGGTTATTTTCCTCCTGTTCACCTTCTCTCACGCCCGCTTTTTCACTGCTGAAACGGAACATGAGGTCAACCCCGAAGAATCCATTATCGATTTACCAGAATCCGATCCTAAAACCACAACTGCCATCCTTTTACCTAGCGAGAGACCCGGGTTTGAACCCGCCAAAATAGTTGATTTCAAGCACGATGATGCCTCGGAAACCGACTCCGACGTGGAATTCATTCCGTTGACGACGATCAGTTTTCATCCTGTAAACCGTCACTTCCCCAGGCGTCCTTTGATTCCGTTCCGTCATAAACATAACTGCCGTTTCCACAAAAGGTTCAGGCCTTTGAACCCGCGGCTCCAGCAGAAACACCGTATTTCTTACGGCGATGATATGATACTGTCCGACGGCGGAACTGGTTTTGACCCAGAATCGCGATGGCCTAGGTTTCCCGATGATGCCACCGAGTCAAAGGAGCATGTAGATTTTCTAAAGCCTCATCACCATGACCACGAATACGATCACGAACATGATCATGATCACGATAACCACCACCACTACCACCGCCGCCACCACCACGGAGAGGAAGACGAAAGCGACGAAGAAGAGGAACATGAGCACGAGCACGAGGGCGGGTTCATGAGGAGGTTAAGCAAGTTTTTTATTCATGTCTGAGGATATCATGCACGGTTTTAATGATAGTTATGCATTTGATCTATTATGCTTTTTTGCGTTATTTTCACTTTTTGGTTTTCTGGCCTTTAGGGGTTGTAAATAAAATCGCATCCGTTGGGGATGAACAATATGGTATTTCCATGTATAATAGTACTACATGGAACTCAATTTAAGAGATTGTTGGTTTTCTTCTGTTTTTTAAGTTGTTGAAATGGAAAACTTTACTGAAAAGGTCGATTACAGAGATCTAGATCGAGTCAAAGGAACTTTTTTATGTGAAAATTAAAGAATAACAGAGGGTCATAAATTTTGTTATTCAGGGGTTGAAAACAGAGTAGAAATCTATATTTATATATATGAATAAATTTTAGAAATGACTGGTGCATGAACCACTCTGTTCTGGGCTGGTGAGTTCGGCGCATGGCCCTGGGCTTACCTCGATTGCAGCACCACTTACATCACAGCATTTCCATGGAGGAGATCTTGGTCCAGTCCTGCCTAGGAGATTAACCTTTGAAAGACAGATGCCGGTGAAGGGGGCGTTCTTGAGGCCTTGTATCGAGCCTGCTCGCTGGACTTTCACTCCCCAAATGTTCTTTAGTGTGATGCCCTTGACGTATGGGAGAGCGTTTGGGTTAAAATTGTTATCAGGGTGGTCGCCAGTGTCACCTGCTATTCTTATGCCTGTTCTAACGTTTTCCATGAACACTTCAGACACTGTGATGTTCTTTATAAACCCTCCCCTGCCAATATTGGTCTTCACATGAACACCAATTCCGGTGTTGTAAAGAACTATGTTCTCGGCCAATACATTCTCAACTCCACCAGAGGTTTCACTTCCCACTGCAATTCCAGCAAATGGGGATGACCCTGTTACTCGCCGGATGGTGATGCAAGAGCTGGGGCGTCCATAAGCGATCCCATATTCGTCCCATCCACTCTTGACAGCCACAAGATCATCTCCGGTAGAAATGAATGAGTCTTCTATACAGACATTGGAGCTTGAATCTGTACCAGTGATACATGAAAGTAAACAAAGTTAATGATTCCTAGTGCATTTGTGCGAAGCCCGAGTTTTAAGAGGTTTATAAGAACCAAGCAGCGTTTACTTGTGTTTGAATATTACACAATTACATGCACTTCAACATAATCAAGGCTGTCTGGGTGCTTGCTTTTGTGAGAAAATGAAACCCTAAGCAAGATGCATTCAAAGAGTAAAATTGCTTTTATTTTTTACCTGGATCAATCCCATCAGTATTTGGGGAGTCAGAAGGAGCCAGGATGGTAACATATCGAATAACAACATTGCTGTAAAGAAGAAAAAACCACGTAAGTTATGATTCTAATTTCTAAACATGCAATTCTTACATGGTATTAAAATACAAAAACAGCCAACAAAGTTACAACAATCTCATGTGGTTATAATAGCAAATCCAATTATTAACTTATCAACTCTGGTACAAACTGTGCCTATATAAACACCTTTGAGCACCCTGAACAGGGCTCTACCTGCTTCTATAAATTCCCTTTGTTGTTAAGTGTGACAAGGTGCAAAGCTTGGAAATCACCATAAAGGAAGAGGAAATGCAATGAAAGTGGAAAATAACAAAATGATTTAAAAAAGATAATGGTTCAAGTTATCTTTTAAGTTAGAGTGCATTTGATTTTCGTTGGACAAATATGTGAATTTCTAGCAGATTTGAATGTAAAAGTTCAAAATTGATTTGACTAATGAAGGATAATAAATTTTTAAACATATACGATGAAATTGTAAGGAAGGCCCTAACTGAATTAAACATTCTACAGTGACACCAATCTACCGAATGGTCAGATAGCACATTTTTCTGTCAAATAATTGAATGGCTTATAAATTATATTAAGAGAGTAAATCTTCATATGTAAGAACGAATGCAAAATTTACCTGCAATAAACAGGGTGAATGTTCCAGAAGGGGGAATTTCTAAAAATCACATTGGAAATGATAATGCTCCTGGAATTCACAAATTCAACAAGATTTGGTCTTGTAAACTGGAAAGTCCTCTGCCTCCACATATTCCACCAGATGTCCCCTTGACCATCAATTGTGCCATTCTCACCTGTTATGGTTGAAAATAAATGAATCATGGAGATTCAAGTTGAAATTATATAAACCATGTGAAAAAAACGTAGACATCATAGTAGTGAGAACTATTAATTACCAACACAATTACAAAAGTCTGAATTACCTGCCATTCGCCCTAGTAAGATAATAATTACATGAAGATCCATGCCAATAAATCATGCTGTTCTCTCTTGACAGTGTATAATAGGCTTTTCTAGTCTATAGATAATTATGTCAAATAGAAGGTTCATTAGATTTAAGTGATTCAAGATAATTAATGGTAGACAAAATAAATATATCTAAAACATGAATGTCGCAGGCTATGAGAGTAATTAATCACATTGTTATCAAGACCTACCAGTAATCACCACATCTCGTAGTCCATCTCCATGAATAAAGCTCATATATCTTCCTCCAGGGCGTTCCCTTCCTCTTCCATAAGATGGCAAAGGAGCAATCAAAGGCCAATTCAAAGTGTCCTGATACATTAATCCAGGAAGAAAATTACGAGAAGTATATGCAACAAATCATATCATAATAAGAGAGTAGGGGTGCAATAAAGTTTTTGAAACTTTAAAATTTTGGAAAAATTCTTCAACAGGGCTTCAAAGTTCAAACAGGCATGAAACAGAAACTTGAAGCATAGAATAATTTACCTCTTTAAGAGAATAACACCTTTGTGGCCAAGGGAGTCAATAAGAAATAAATTTATGTTATTTCAAAAGATACAGACATTTCCACATATCATAGGCAGAATAAAATAATTAGACATGGGTTAGCATATTTTCTTAACTCAATTAACTGACCAAAAGCTTAATTCTTTATTCCTATGAGGCTGGCTTCGTGCATCTCAAATTCCTTTAGTGAAAATCAAATGTTGGTTTACCAAAAGACAAGCATAACCAGCCACAATAAAAACCTTTTCTCCCATAAACTAGGCCACCAGCTAAACATAGTACAATCTTGTTTTCAGAAAATTAAGTTAAATTTCGACAACTAGAGAACATTTAGCGGACCATGATCCCAACATTGACTAACATTTTTCTGTTACTACTAGTTTTCAGCATGATATAACTCAAGTAGAAGTACCTGATGACCACATTCAGTACACTTGATTTGGATTGTTTACTAATACTATTAATTATGAAGAGTACGTTTTATTGTGTAATAAAGAATCCTAACACTGTGGCAGGATAGCATTATATAGCACCAAGTTGGAAAACAATGCTTGCCACTCTCTGTCTGGCTAAATTGTTTAATTGAAAACCCCCAAAAATGTCATGCACATGCGACCATACAACGGAGACCCATAATATTTTTCTCTTTTCTCTAAAATGCCTGGACCCCATGGTTCAAAGAGACATCTTCACCCCCCCCAAACTTTCTACACCACCACCCCAGCGGAACCAAACAATGTCACGTTAAAATTGACATTTCAACCATATCGTACAAATAACAATATTCTCTTGTAAGACTATATCTAACCAAAATCCAAATATTTCAACAAAGAAAAAAAAAAGAAGAGCAAAAATAGCATTATTGAACAAAGAATCACCCTTGCAATTCAATCATAAATTACAGGTAATCAAAACCCAGATTCAAGCTTTCATTACCATTTTAGAAGATAATGGAGTAGCAGTTTTATCTTTATCTAACCTATGATTAATTCTTTTCAACTCACTTCCATTTTCTATCATAAGTATTAAACCTTATGTTTTGAGTAAAAAATGTAACTTTTACACATACAAGGATGGGATGTGGATTGGAATAAAGATTCTAATTTCGAAATGAAGAGTTTTCCATTGTCAAAAGTAAAAAAATGACTTCTCATTGTATATATGCACCTACAGATTATACTGCCAATGATGAGTAACAATTACAGAAGAAGTAAAAAGATTTGAGTTACCTGAGTGGCTTTGATAACAGCACCTCTAGCCAAATAAAGGGTCATATGGCTAGTAAGATTAAAGCTGTCCGTTAAGTACACCCCAGGAGGCACATAAAGCAGGCTGCCACCTCTCCTTCTCAGATGCTGAATCCGATTTATAGCTTCCCGGAAGGCCTTCGTATTGAGCGTCTTTCCGTCCCCGACTCCACCAAAGTCCGTTATCGATATCTTATCGTTTCTGTGCCTCATGGGTACTATCCCCGAGCACGTTATCAATTTCCCATAAGATATGTGAAACCAAAATGAGGCTTCCAGGAAGAAGCAAGAAAGCAAAATCCAAGTCAATGCTCGAAACATTCTTTTTGAAACCCAAAAGAAAGAGACAAAAGGAAGATTATTTGGAGAGTGACAAAGAGAAAAAGGAATAAAATGATCTTTAATTTATTATGTTGAAAGAATTTAGTGTATATCTGGAGAGTGATACGAGGAGAAAGCTCCAAATGGTTCTGATTATTTTAATTAGGAAAAGTAAGTGAAGAACAAAGAATTAGATAATATGAAAAGATCAAAAAGGAAGGGGAAGAAATCAAACGAGAAGCGAGAAATTATAAGTGCTAAGGAAGAAGAAACTAGAAAGACAGCGGTTGAGTTGAGACACCGTGCATGAGGAGTAAGCGCGGGTTCACAAATTCTAAGCTGCTTGAAATCTTTATATAAATTCCGAATATTTGGAAACTTTATGTTATGAATTAAAAATAACCTTATAGCGGGGTAAACCTTTTTTTTGTTCAAAAATTTTATTTTTATTATTTTGAATGTATTTTTTATTATTTTAAAATAAAATAATTTAAATAAATAAAATTATTATAAAAGTATTAAAATTAATATATGTTTAGTATCTCATATATTGTGATTATAGTTATTTATGAATTGTTTATACTATATTTTGAGCATTGTATTTTTATTAATCATTTGATTAAGTGTATGATTTTTAATTTATTGTAGTTATAAAATTTTTGTAAAAATATTTAAAACAAAATAAAAAGTAATTAATTTTTACTATGTATTTTTATATTTATATTTATTATATTATATTTTTTAAATTTAATTTTATTATAAAAATTTAATATATAGTTAAGTCTTATTAATTAATTTAATATAAAATTTAATAGGGTAGTTAATTTTAATAATAAAAGTATTTTA